ATTGCAGCTCAGAACTGGTTTTCAGAAGCCAGAAAGGTAGCTCCTGAAGCTTGAAACATGTTCTCCATGGAATATCCTAGAACATGTTGTTCCCCGAGCAGCCAAGAAGGGCTCTATCGCTGCCACCAGAACCAAGTCCCAACATTGCAAACCCACCAACTTACAAACGCGCAAAGGAAAGATCGATATTGGCCTCCGCAGGATATTAAACACAAGCAATCTCGCCGAATCTCTGTGCGTCGTCCTGCCTTTGTGACTCAGAGAATGATGAAGCATCTGCAAGAGCTGCGGATAAATCCTCAGTGCTGTTGCGCCGTAGGTCACTTCGCCATTCATGACATCTATTCCAGTCTTTGTTCCTCGCGCGTTGCCCATGTCATAATCCAGTTCGAATTCTGCGACGCTGGAAGTTTCTAGTGCTCAGTTGTGTTTCGGATGTGCGCTGACAGAATTGGAGCGGTGCACGGCTTGTGCGAGTATCTCTTCATGAATAAGAGCTTGACACAATGGAGCGCATGAGCAAAACACTGCGTTTGACCCGGTTGACGTCACAGCAACCTGTCAAGCGACCCGCGAAAACATTCACATCAATTTCATGGGGTTACATGTTTCTTCAGGCACCATCCGACAAGGGACTATCCCGCAAATTTTGGGACAGCCCCAATCCAGCCTGTTGTAGGTGCATACAGGGATGGCGAGGAGATGCATGACAATGCAACCATCCCCTCTGCTGATGTCATCCGCCACCTCTATCCATTGAGATTCAAGAACACCGGTCGGGGGTATTCAGCTGCACACATGCTTTCGCTCAGTCTGTTGTGATTCTTGGTTGGAATTTGTGGTTCTGCAAACAATACCTGTTCAAAACGCCACAAATAGCCCATTGCCGCTTTCAGGGTTGGCTAGGGACACCAAAAGGAACCAATTCGAATGGGGGCTTTTTTGGAATCCTAAATCCAAAGTCCCTGACACCCGAGCTGAGAAACTGGCGGGTTGCGGGTCCTCCGAAGCACGTCGCAAAAGGCTGTCCTCAGCCGGTCAACCGAGTGCCCTGGGTCCACGTCCGGTCCACAGGCGCCAAGGACCCGAACGGTGGAAAACAAAATGGAACCACGGGATGTAGAGGGTTCCACTCTGTGCTGAACAACTGGGTAACCCTTATATCCACTGAGTAAGCACGTAGACATTCAGGTAAGCCTTGATTGGTGGCTTGGAACATGACATGGAAACCGCCCCCTGACCTCCGAACCACCGGAAGCTGAGAAACTCTCCTTTCACATGACGGGATAATGTTACCAGCCGCTAGCCTTCTGGCTGGACCTTTGCGCCCATGCCCAGGCCCGGGCTGAATTTGAGGTAGCCTTATCACCAGGCCAGCCACCTGTTTAAACACCTTTATGCTTGGGCTTCTCTTAGAGGAGACCATGGCCTGGAAACTGGGTGGCCTCTGCAGCTTCCGGTCCAGAGGGAGGCCTCAAGGACTCACACCGAAAGCAGGAAGCGCCGTTGGTGCCACTTGGTTGCTGATCAAGTCATCACACCTTTTGGCTGTGTCCAATACCCAGAGTTCAGCCCTTTGGACTCTGGACTACTTATTTCCGGCGCGGGAACGGCTCACACGATCCGTGAGGTGGGCCAGACGAAAGAATGTGCTCCGTGCCTACTTTCAATCCAAAATATCAAGTTGCTGAAACACGCAATGGTCAAACCGCGTGCTTGGGTCATGCTCATGGCTCGGCTGCTGCATGGGAACATTGGCCCTCACTGACCATGGCTGAAATCGAATTCAAGGATTGATGACCCTCACAAACCTCTTGCACAAAATGGCTTTGACCATGGTATATGGAAATGCTATTATGTGGCATCCTTCACATTGGATTTGCCCACCCACCATTGTGAGGATATTCCTCATTCAACAACATGGCAATGCTCCCTCCAAGCCGAGCGCAGCCAGGAAGCGTCATCGCACCACCAGGGGCTGAGTACATGTTGGCAGCATCGGAGGAGGTGTCGTCATCTTCACATCCACCTCGTGCGCTCGGACGACTTCCAATGGGCAAAGAAATCAGAGATCTGCAATGCTTATCATAATTCCATGCTGAAGCAAGGGATTCGCAAGTCAAGGACATAAACCATTGCCATCTCGTTTTACCCCTAGGTGAGCGCGCCATAAATACGCAAAAATCAGTGTCATCATCTGGTGAGGCCCTACATCTTCGTTTGGCAGCCTTCCACATGCGCTGTCGGCCGAAAGCCGAGTGGCTGAACATCAGGACGTCGCCCTGGGAGTGGAACCTCTGCTCGTGTGGCGCTCCCAAAAGCGTGGTGTTTGTTGCCCAGGTGCGGATCGCGGATTCAGCTTCAGAGATTGGAGCTATGTTCATTTCGGATTTTAGGACGGGCAACAACACGACCATGCGGATGCGTGGGGCAAATGGTAGAATCGAGCAAGCATGGTCAAACATATGACATCAGTAACCAAACAAGCATGCTGAAGCTGTGCTCTCCCCCAAACTTCAACTGGCAAAGCAACTAGCATGGAGTACAACTCCTTTGCGATGCATCTCACACCCAGGCAGGAGCCAAGGTCAACATTGATTGACAAATATGTTGGAATATGGGACTTCGGCGAGTCAGCCTTCCATGTCATCCATTCACACAAGTGAGTAAAAATGGGAGATACCTCCTGTTGGATGGTTTAATGGGGAGACCCAGAGGCAAGGCGATCACCTGGACATGTTGGTCCAACTAATTGTTAGACACACCCAATGAACAAATAAGACACACCTAAAATGATGCCTAAAACGGGTCCCTCCATTGAACGTGAATCTTAATTGGGGACCTTGAACTGGATTTATGTCCGCCAACCACTTCTCAGGTCCCCTACTGAAAATCATAGCCATTTTTAGAGAAAACCGTCCAGCTTGATCCAGCTTGCACACGAGACCCCCACATTTCCATGAAAAGGAGCACTCCTTTTGCAGTCGGAACCCACCCTCCCCCCCGCAAAAAAATATAAAACAACCATGGGGCCAATGTTTTGTGCCTCGTCGATTTCTTGCCAATAATTAAGCCTGTAGTGGAAAAACGTTGGCTAACTCCCAAGAAAACTGCTCACAAAGGCTACACGTCCACCCTCCCCGTGTACCGCCTTCAGCAGAGGCACGGGTTCACCTCCTCGCGCCACATGCCTCTCCGCATGTCCCAGGTGAAGGGCAGGTCGAGGCCAGTGCCACTGTGACCTCGGATTCGACTCAAAGGAGGGACCCGGTCCTTTAAAAGGAGAAGTGAAGTTGAAAACCCCAATTGTGAAGAGCTTGTCCCCTCGAGAGAGACCTATATGGAATCCATGAGAAAGGGGGAGTCTTGTTGTTGTTGACTGTTCTGGCGGTTTTCGGGCTGAAAAGACTCCAACCCTAACAAACAGCTCCAAAATCCTAGCCGGCATGATATTTTCTGCCAGCTGGCACTCAATTGAAGAGATATTTACACACACACACATACCTTGGGGATGTACCAAGTGATCCCTTTGCGAGCCACGCCCATCCTTCAAGGGTAAGGGACCCTCTCGGCACGTCACTGGCCACACGATTTCTTCCAGCCCAGCTTGGGCCTTGCCATCGCATGAAGGCAAGCAATCAACCAAGCAACCGACAGACCAATGTGGGATCGTGCCCCAAGTGGCTAAGCCGCAGAGTGGCATTTCATGTCTAGGATTGAGACTTGTTTTGAGCACTTTCTGTGCTTCCTAACATTGCCTGGTCGAAATTGGCACACATGGGCAAAACTCAAGAGTTTGATGGTTGGTTGCAAACCAAAACTCTTGAGTTCAACGCTTGCTTCTGAGCCACCTGAATGGTTCGGCCTGGACCTGATGCATTCTCCTTCTGCAACGAAGAGTCTGAGTGCTTCAGACTCGCGCCGGGGCCCCGGCAGCAATCCAGCACTCCTGTCAACCTGCGGATGTGCATGCCAGCCCTCACGCAAGCACAAGAAGCGAGGGCTTGAAAAGAACCAAACTCTAGCACAGCATGCATCAACTCGCATGCTAATACCACAAGGCAGTGTATCTGTCGGTTCCGATCTATTTCCTGTGGAAAAACCCGCCGCGCCAGCGAGTTCTTTTGCGGGTTCGCAGCAAAGCAACATGTGCTTCCCTGCAATTGTGAAGCCTTCTAGTTGACAAGTCCATGCATTGTTCGATGTTGTTTGCCGACACTGAGGTTGATCTTGCTCTTCTCCCACCTCAGAGTGTGTTGTTTTCCATGAACCATGGTAGGTGTGTTGAGGCATTGTGAACTCCGACGGAGCGCGAACTTCTAGGACTCCTTTCTTTGTTCTTAGGGTGTCATTCAAACATGTCCAACAAACAAGGCATCCCCTTATCCAAAGAACCCACAAGTACACAGTCTAGCTTGTTGACAGTTACCTCAGAACCTGGCCCGGATCTGCCCTCAAGATCGGCCTCACTCCCGCGGGCAGGGGCTTTACGATGTAGTCGCTGATCTGGTCGTCGGTCCTAACTGCGAATTGCGCACTGAAGGATAACATGTTTGTCAATGGGCTGGTCAAAGGCATCAGTGGGGTCCTTCTGAGAGCAACGAGCTAACAAGCTAAGAACATGCATAGCGCAAAACCTTGCAGCTTATATTTGTGTGATTTTTGCAAAAATCCTGTTCACCTTCGTTTAACCAGACTGGAAAAGGATCATCACCACGTGGGGACCCCCCATTTGCTCTTGACACAAATTCCAGCAATGCACGCAGGAGAGCGATCCGGATGCATCAAAGGCGCATCATTCCAGCCTCAGCTTCCACCCAACACAAGGCTGCTTCGCGGAAGCTGTGATACCAACACGGGCTCCCATGACCTTATCATCTTATCACTTGGGAGTCCCTTGATATCGCTGAAATTGGAAACAAAAACCCTGACTCAACCCTGACACTAAGAAAAAGGTAAAGCTAGGCATTTCGTGGGCCAATTGGTCTTGATGCATTCGCACTTGCTTCACCAGGGAGGCAGTGAATCTCCAAGCGGTTCAGTGCGAACCGCACGAAAAACACCATCCGTTTTAGGCTATTCGAGCTTCCGTCCGAAACTCGGACTTCCAAATGAAGATATGTTTGTTTGTTCCAACCTTGCTCATTCCCTAAAAAGGCAAAAGAGCATGCGCAACACACACACACACACACACACACACACACACACACGCACGCACGCACGCACGCACGCACGCACGCACGCACGCACGCACGCACGCACGCACGCACGCACGCACGCACGCACGCACGCACGCACGCACGCACGCACGCACGCACGCACGCACGCACGCACGCACGCACGCACGCACGCACGCACGCACGCACGCACGCACGCACGCACGCACGCACGCACGCACGCACGCACGCACGCACGCACGCACGCACGCACGCACGCACGCACGCACGCACGCACGCACGCACGCACGCACGCACGCACGCACGCACGCACGCACGCACGCACGCACGCACGCACGCACGCACGCACGCACGCACGCACGCACGCACGCACGCACGCACGCACGCACGCACGCACGCACGCACGCACGCACGCACGCACGCACGCAACGCAACGCACGCACACACAAGTTGTTGGGGGATTCACCAAAATGCAATGAGCTAGTGACTCCCTTTGATTGTTTGAGGTGCCCGGGAAACGGCCGACCTTGACGAAAGCAAATGCCGTGGCAACAGGGCAATCTGGCCTGGTTGGCATGGCTGAAGAGTTCCAGCATATCCGTATATCTCCCTAACATGCGTCAAGGATGCCTGGCAAATGCTCCGCAAGTCTAATCGCTTGCAAGTGCACTCATCCCCTCAGCACTACTGGAAAAGCCACACCGCCTATGCTCATAACTCACCGCTACCTACACTCTCAGCGGCGCATCGCTCGGGTGGTCCCCTATCGCCAGTGCAGGCGATGGCCATCTCCAAAGGTGCTCAGCAGTTGCGACTACCGGGTGAGAGGCCCTGATTTGGCGCTGTAAGACTGGCGTTTGCGCCGCCTTTTGAGGTCCCTGAAAAGGGCCAACATATTGCCGCGGATACTTCAAGCTTGCCACTCAACTGTTCTCGGGTAATCTCTTCTCGCTTTCAATACATGCACCCTATTCACAACTATGTTTTTACAAACACCACATGTCCACTAAACTAGAACTAGGCAATACTAAGCAGATTCTAAGCTCCCAAACCCGAACTCCAGTAGCTCTCCCCCAAAGGTACAAGTCCAACTGTAATTTCAAATTCTATCATATCATGCTATTTGTGCCCTTTAGATGTGAATTCATAATCGAAACAAGCCTAAAACGACTCCATTTAAATTCCTTACTCGGCAAATGCTAATTTTGACGGTCTTTGTGCCCTGCAGAGAGCGGCCCATTTGGACGAGAACCATAGCGGACATTTCCTGAGACCTGCTCGTACCCTATTGGAGGGTGATAATTCATAAGATGCGGGGAAGGGATTACTCGACGCTAATTCGTCCGGTGTCGATGACTCATTTGAGACCTGCCTTGGAATCCCCCTACGTGGAGTTGGCGCTGTTCCTAGCGGGCTGTAACCCACTTAAGGGGCAAGGAGCGTGTTCAAAGTCCACGGGGAGGATGGTCTCGTTCATGCCATCCTGCAACGCTGGAGCATGCTGGAGCTTATTGCCTCCATGGAAAATATTGGCGAAAGGACGTCCGACGTGTTCTGCGTCTGCCCCAGTTTTCACAAATGGAGGGTCACGCGGGGATCAAGGTGCCTGGGATGGCCTGAGTCATCTGTCAGAGGAAGTTGGAACATTGCGACCGTTGCAGAGGTGTTAGAAGAGCAAGCGGCGGTGAAATCCACCAGTTACCTTGGGCTCTCTCGACCTGCAGTGAGGAAAAAGGTGACGTCACGCCCAAGCAAATGAACCAGAACCACACGCTGCAAACAATTGGTTGAACAATCCCAGAAAGAAACCTATATGCAAACATTGCACAACTGGCCTGAATCTCTTCTTCTCACTTTGCCTTGAGAACCTCACCGTATCCCTTTGATGGTTGACTTCCTCATGGCTCTTTGGAAAAGCCGCTCAAAGGTGGGCAGTCCTGTTTTCAGACACGCTAGGTTGACGAATCATGAATTGCTGCGATCACTCTTTGGACCCCTTAAAACACGGCAACCTGACATATCCCCGTTGGATGAATCAAAACCCGATGAAAGAGCGCTCCCGGGTCAACGTGCTCACTGCCGGAATCAAGAAGGTAAATGTATATAGATCCCCATTGCAAAACCCTGGGGTTAGTGGTGCCCACTTGCTGAAGTAACCCAAAACTGGCTTGATTTCTAGACCCACCAGCATTCGTGGCCAAGACCGCGGAAACTCTCCAATCCCTTTCGCGCGGGTGACTTTCTCACCTGCATATGGCATTTCCATACAGAAATCCGTAGGAGAACCCCTGGGCTTAACTCTGATCGGAATGCTTCCGCCTCCTCAAAGCCATGCGGATCCTCTTGCTGCGCCTAAAGCACGCGCTCGATCCACATGGACCCATTTCCCCGCAAAACAAAGAAAGAACAAAACACTAGCCCGAGCTCATACTTCGCCCCAACTTTCCGAGTTTCGGGCAAGTGCTGGGCCTGACTGAACCAACGATATTGACCACTTCAGGGTGGGCACACTTGAGAGTGTCCTCTGGTGGTTGTTTGGGTTCCACGTTTGTCTGTAGGGAGTAAGCTTCCTGAAGCTGCTGTCGTGGCTCCAATGAGGCTACGTGTTTGATTTCGGGAAGCCCTCCCTTTGGTGGGTCAGCATGGAACGTATCATCATTTCAAGTACTTCTAGTTCTGTGAGACCACAGTACTGCAGACATGCCAGCTGTATCATGTAGGCGTCGCAGTCTTCTTTGGGAAGCACACTTGCAACAACACGATGCAAAATTCACTTCAAGCTGGTCATGCATTCATGTTGCAGTGTCAGAAAGCTGTGACATTATGTTCTGGCATCATGCTTGCCTACTATGAGGTCCGGGAGAGTATTGCTCCTCCCGCCCGTGAAGTGTGAAGGTTCTGGTGAGGGCCGGAAGGAGACTTGATTTCAGGGACTTCTTCCAGAGTGCAAAGACCGCAAACTTGGCCATTCCCCAACGGCTGAAAGCTATAGGGTCTCTGCCCAGATAGGCTCCGGAGTCGCTCGGAGCAGGTACCTAGCGTCCCGGAGAGGTTCCGGAGGTTGTTGTTGGGGATACCACCTGGGCTTATTTTGTGATTCCTTGAATTTGAAGGAATGGGTAAACCTCCGGGTTGCGCCACTCTGTTGCAAACGTGTTGCAGCCACAGTTCTTCCAACAGCATCCTTTCCCACTTGAGTGGACTAAGCTCTTTGTGTGCCACTAGAATCGTCTTCCTCAGTTGTTCAATGACCCTGGAAAAGAAAAGGCAACCCTTTTTTAGGGAAGACCATTTTTAGTGGGGCAGCCCTCAAAAACAAGGGAAAATAATTGGTGCCACTGAACCACTGAGCTTCCCAACAAGTTCAAAGTCCAAAGCTTTGGGCTTGGTCTGGGACGCGGGTTTCGAGGACCCCACGCCGTGGCCCGAGAAGCTGAAGAAGAGCACGTCTCCTACGGATTTTTGTTGGTTCGACCCTCAGGTAGGTATCAAAACAATGGGCGGTTTATACAACCACCATCATGTACCTAAGGATTTTCATCATCCGAATTGGGTCAACCATGCTTTTAATGGGGGTTGAACCTCAGGGAGATGTATTCTGCGATTTCTGCAATTCCAAAAACCTGAAATAAGAAATCGATCCGAAGGGACCTTCATAGCGAGCTCATGTTCATTCGCAGAGCTTGGCATTGAGTTTGCAGATGATTGTCCTCTGGTGCAAGTTGGCACTGGTTGTTGGGCTTCATCACTTTTAAGCGGGACCCGCATGCAACCTGAACCTGGCAGGGCGTGCCGGGATGACCATTCTCTTGTGAGAGGCATGATCTGGTGAGCGCTTCAGAGTTTATTGTGAGTAAGCTTGGAGCATTTAGAGATTCATTGTGAGTAGGCCTGAATTCTTTGGACCCTTGGGTGGGTTCCATGGCAACATGCACTGGAGGGTAAGCAAACTACATGGACACCTGTGGCTACTGGGGCCAGCGGAGCTGGGGCGGAAGTTTCCCAAAACAATTAGATCCTATAGGAAAGGGCAACTCACAACGCCACAAAAACGCAGCCCATCCCCCCGAGTGCCCGCTGCGCAAGCACCGACTTGGCTACACGATGATACCCTGTGAGACCTTGTGACCCTGTGGAACCCTGTGATACCCTAAAAGCCCCCTGACAGCAACTTGCCAAAGCCCCTACGTGGATAGGACCAAGCCAAATAGCCAAGTAGCTAAATAGTTGCGATTTTCGAGCCCCAGCTGCGAAAGTGGACGTCGCGTACTACTGTCGTACTTAAAAGTATCGATTTTCGAGCTCCAGCTGCAAACGTGAACTGCGCGTACTCGTTTCGTACTTACAAGTTGCGATTTCGCACTTTAAAGTTGCGATTTTCGAGCCCCAGCTGCGAAAGCGGACTTCGCGTACTATTTTCGTACTCAAAAGTACGGATTTTCGAGCCCCAGCTGCGAACGTGGACTGCGCGTACTCGTTTCGACTTAAAAGTTGCGATTTCGTACTTAAAAGTTGCAATTTGGAAGCCCCTTCTGCAAACTTGTCGACCTTGCTAGGCTCTGTTTGCCTGTCTTTGCTCATTGCTCACTTTGCAAGCCTTGCTCAACTCATGGCCAATCTGCCCCATCGGTGTGGCTCCAATCGAAAGCGCAGGCTTGCTTGCGTGTCCTTCGCATGTTTTGCTACGACATGTCTCTGGCAACATCTAGGGTGACCTGCCCCTCAGCATTCTCCAACCAAATACTCCATCGACGTGACCATGACCCAGCTGAATGCTTCAGCAGCCACACAAGGCCTCTGATTCCTGAGCTTGACAAAAACAACTCATTGGTTTGCGAAATGTAGAAATCTGCCCAGATGAGGCAGGGGTTTACTCAATTCGAACGGGGAAATCAAATGGGGATGTCCATACTGACTGCTGTCCTTTTAAAGCTATATGCTGTACATGCGTGATCTTCTTGTAGGACGAATTCCTACAGGCTAGGTGCTTAGATGATCTGAGGCAAGTGGTTAGTAACCCTAGTTGACCCCCGTCTAACTCTTGGCAGCTTTTGGCTTCCTTACATACCGGCTTGCAAACATTCTTGATAGTGAACAGGGAGGTCCCCCAAAAGCAAAGGACTCTTCCCACACCTTTCCGTCAACTTCTATCATGGTTGGTGATTGTTGGAGGGACATTTTGAAACCCCAGCAGCGCCAGGCTACTTGGATTGAATGAGCTGCCTTGTGATTTCCTTCAAGACCATCCCAAACTTGCCCCACCTTGAGACATATGCATTTCCTCCTTACCCGGCCGCTCCCCCAAAAGCACCCGAGGAAGGGAAGTAAGATAACTTGACCTTTCAAGGCTCCGCCAAAAAATCCACGTCAACTTCGGAGTCAACACGAGGGCCTCTAGTGGGGAATCTTCGAACATTTTAATTTTTGCGACATTCCATTGAGCAGTGTCAGATATTTTAATCACTTTGCTTTGCTTAGGTAATCCTTGCTGGGGGTTCACAACCCCTGATTGCACAGCTGCTCTAGCATCAGGCTGCTGTCTCCGCCATATCTGGGATCACCCCATGTCACAACAGCCCCAGATTCGAGAATGGCAGCAAAAGCTCCTCCGCTAGTTGCTTGGATCTGCTGGACATTTCTCAGCTGCTCTTGCACCTGCCTGCTGTCTCCGCCAGATCTTACATCACCCCAGCTCACAACAGCCCCAGATTCGAGAATGGCAGCAAAAGCATGAAAAGTTGCTTGGATGCGCTGGACGTTCCTCAGCTGCTCTTGCACCTGGCTGCTGTCTCCGCCATATTTCGGATCACCCCAGGTCACAACAGCCCCAGAGTCAAGAACGGCAGCAAAAGCACCTCCGCTAGTTGCTTGGATCTGCTGCACATTTCTCAGCTGCGCTTGCACCTGGCTGCTGTCCCCGCCACATTCTCGCTGACACCAGGTCACAACAGCCCCAGATTCGAGAATGGCAGCAAAAGCGCCTCCAGTTGCCTTGATGTTCTGGACATTTCTCAGCTGCTCTTGCACCTGGCTGCTGTCTCCGCCCCACATTGCATGCCCCCAGGTCACAACAGCCCCAGATTCAAGAATGGCAGCAAAAGCCCGAAAAGTTGCTTGGATGCGCTGGACGTTCCTCAGCTGCTCTTGCACCTGGCTGCTGTCTCCGCCATATCTGGAATCACCCCAGGTCGCAACAGCCCCAGATTCGAGAATGGCAGCAAAAGCTCCTCCGCTAGTTGCTTGGATGTGCCGGACATTTCTCAGCTGCTCTTGCACCTGCCTGCTGTCTCCGCCAGATCTTGGATCACCCCATGTCACAACAGCCCCAGATTCGAGAATGGCAGCAAAAGCACAAGAAGTTGCTTGGATGTACTGGACGTTCCTCAGCTGCTCTTGCACCTGGCTGCTGTCTCCCCCATATGCTGGATCCCCCCAGCTCACAACAGCCCCAGATTCGAGAATGGCAGCAAAAGCACGAAAAGTTGCTTGGATGTGCTGGACGTTTCTCAGCTGCTCTTGCACCTGGCTGCTGTCACCCCCATATTTTGGATCTCCCCAGGTCACAACAGCCCCGGATTCAAGAATTGCAGCAAACGCACAAAAAGTTGCTTGGATATGCTGGACATTCCGCAGCTGCTCTTGCACCTGGCTGCTGTCTCCGCCACTTTCTGGACCACCGAAGGTCACAACCTCGCCCTCCTGTCCATGTAAAGCAAATGCCTGGTTAGTGGCAGCAAGTTTGCCAAGCTGCACAACCGCACTCACCATGTCGCCGTCTCGCAACCCGGCCTCGCTCAAGGTGGCTGTCAAATCAAGCTGCCGGCCTTTCGCGGTGAGCTTCAAGCGACGCTGGAAATGCAGCTGCGCAGCAGCCTTCAGCTCGCTGACGAGGGTCACTGGTGAGACTGCCATGGAGCAACCATCTCCACTCGGCAAATGAACATCCACCTTCATGGTGCAGAAAGATTCTTGGCGAATTCAAGTCACCAAAAACGAACCTGAGGCACAAAAGCATGTAGCTTGGGAGCCCGTTTTGGATGTTGTTGAAAGGGATGCCCAACCATCTTGACTCAAGTCCTTGTTGGGAGGACCCTCCCAGCAGTCTAACCCGCAGGCTGAAGTTCAGTTGAATCCGGTTAGCAAAGACAACGGCGCCCATTTGTTGGGCGCCAGACCTGCAGATCTCGGCCTTCTGGATAGCTCATCCTCATAAGCCAGAAAAGGAAAACACCCAAATGGGTGTCTGTCAACATAGGGAACCTCCCAAGATTGTTGATCTGCTGCTGATTTCCCTTCGAAGCTTAACCCAAAAAAGGAGCCAACAAAAAAACCACACGCACACGCACACACACACACACATACACAAATTCCAAGGTGGAAAGCTTCCCGCGCTCTGGGGTCTACCCTCTTCTCAGTGGTTCTAGCTAGCGATACTTCTGCGCCTGGCCGATTGCTCCAATGCGAGCAATACGAGGTGATATCCGCACCCTGCCAGTTTGCATTGATCCCAACCAGGCGACAGCTTGTTATGGCCGGTTTGACCTGCCAAGGGCTTTACCAAAGCCATCTTCAGATTCGATGTGCCGAGCTTTACTCTAACTTGTGGTTGGGATGGGTCTTTTGGGGTTATTTATGTTATTTCCCATTTGCCCTCCGCAAAAGCCAATCCAAACCACCAACTCTAAGGTTTATGTGATGTGTGTTTTTGTTTCAAAAAAACTAACCTTGAGCTGGATCAGCTCTCCAAAATTCATCACATTCGTGCGGTTGCCCTGAGAAGCAGCCCCAAACTTACCCTCTCAGATTTGCCCATAAGTTACCTTGCACCGGCTTCGGCTTCCCTCTGGTTTCGGTTCAACGCACCCCCGGAAAGCATTTCCACCATACAAGTCCATTGTCCGATAGTCAAAGATGCTGCTCTCCTGGTCGAGCATCCTCAACCAGCCACCGCAAGTGCTGCTCGATGTTGTGCCGCCTGAGTTGCAAAGCAACATGTAGGCACGGTTGTTTTGAGTTGCGCGGGCTCGCTATTTAGACATGTTCCTGCAGCTTGCGGTGCAGCTTGCAAAAGGTGTTTGAGTTCACCGACGTATCTCAGCACTTCCAATGTGATGAATGTGACTGAGCGACACCAAACAGGCCTGTGGGAAGAGGGATCTTCAGCAGCTGTGTACCTCTGGAAAGCCTTCCAGACCAATCCCTCACCAGTGAGAGGAAGTCGTAGGCATATCTTTTCAGCGTCTGCCGTCACTGGAACCTGCCAATTCGCCTGTGTTAAAGCAACATGTTCTTCCAGAAGCACTCCGTCAGGCCATGCTAGATGGGGCATGTTGTTGCCAATTGGGCGAAGATGGCATTTGCTTTGGTGACTTCGAGATGTTGGTCGTTGCATGGCATGGTCACACAACTCGCTTTGAGAGACGGTCGTGGCTTCTTCAATAGCAATGCTTGAACTGGCTGTGCCAAAACCATGGCCCTCTCTAGCATACCCGTTCTTTTCACATTCTTATTGGCGGTTTCTTGGTGATTAGGTAACCCACTGACCGCACTGACCAACCAATCAACCAACCAACCGACCGACCGACCGACCGACCGACCGACTGAACCACTCAGTCACTCAGTCACTCAGTCACTGTTGTTGGGGATTCTTCTGGGGGGCAGGTTGGTTTTAAGAGAAAATTAAGAGCAGACCACCCTTTCTTTGGGTCCCCTTCTGAGCCACCCCCACTATTCAAACTCATTGCCACCCTGCTCGCCGAGGCTCGTGGGCATCCCGCCCCCACGGCCGTCGTCCGTGAGGGTGTGAATGTCCCGCGACTCGGAAACAGCATCCAATGAACAACGGGGGTGTAACTTTTACCTGCAACAAACTACAAAAACATCGGGAAACAAGGAAAATGAGAAATTAACAACCCGGCAATAAGGACCCCCCCTTCAAGGGACCTTACGGATGAGCTCGTCTTTCTTCTGGGAAAGCTTGTTATCATTTGAATAAGGAGTATTGCATCCCCCCCGTGCTTGTTCCAAGAGGGGTCCGGTCAATACATTTACAATTGTTTTTTGTGCAAATCACAGAATGTTGTCCAGGTGAAAATGCAAAAGGGACCAGCAAACACTGGAATCAGGCAGGGAACAATAGCTGGTGCGAGTGTGCGTGCGCGGGTGCGTGCGCTTGTGCGTGCGCAGGTACTGCGGAGTGTGCGCGCATGCGTGCTTGCGTGCTTGCTTGCGTGCTTGCGTGCTTGCGTGCGTGCGTGCGTGCGTGCGTGGGTGCGTGGGTGCGTGGGTGCGTGGGTGCGTGGGTGCGTGGGTGCGTGGGTGCGTGGGTGCGTGGGTGCGTGGGTGCGTGGGTGTGTGTGTGTGCGTTTGTGTGTGATTGTGTGTGTGTGATTGTGTGTGATTGTGTGTGTGTGTGTTGTGTGTGTGTTGCATGTGTGTGTGTGTAAGGTTGTGTTTGTGTTTGCGGGTTTGTGCGTTTGCGCTTGTTTGTTGCTTGTCTATTTGCTTACTTCCTTTCTTGCTGCTTGCTTGCAGCCTGCTTGCCTGTTTGATGTGTTTGTGCATTCGTGTTTGCTTGTGTTTGGTGTGTGTGTGCGTTTGTACACAAACTGCTCTTGAGGTTTCACAACATACAAAGTTACTCGGCCATCTCAGCCCTATTGCTTCCAATAATGCCTTCAATGTTCACCACTGGATTGAACAAATGATACGCTGACTGCGAACACAAACCCATAGAGCGCTGAGCGTTGCTGAGAGCTGACAAATCAAACTCGGAGTCAGAGTGCTCGACTGTAAGTTTTCTGCTGCCACAGGGTGTGGACTGAGGCGCTCACAAACAAAACCCTGCTTTACTTTTGCAGAAACAAACAAACAACTTGCAGTTTTTAGCTCTCCCAGCCGGGCGCCAGGCAGACCATCCGTAAGTCTCCGTAAGTAGGCGGTGCAGGTTGTGCACGTCGTTGATGCATCCCCGCCTCAACGGCAAGCATGCAACGCACATGCGTGCCGGCAGGCAGAACGTGGGTGGGTGGGTGGATGAGTGGGCGGGTGCTTGTACTTGTTTGCGTGCGTCTGCGTGTGTGTGTGTGTGTGTGTGCGCGTGTGTGTACATATGTGTTACTTGTTTCTGTGTGTGCTTTGAACATATTATGTTTGTTTGCGTGTCTGCGTGGATGTTTGTTTGCGTGTGTCTTTCTTCATCTCATGTGTGTTGTGTGAGTGTGGCTGTTTGCGTTTCTGTCTTTCAAGGTGGACCGAGTTTCCAATTGTTGGCTCGGAACATTGCAAGTCGAAGAAGTCAAACAAACCTCACTCGAACTCTTCTCGAACCGCACCCGCTCCATATTCCTGCATTCGTTTTGCCCAGATTCCCACTGGCTATATATCGAATATCTGTTTGAGCCAGTAAAATTATGCGTTGAGGAAATGTCCTCGAAGGTCATTTGTCAACCAAAAGGGCCTCCCATCCTGAAAGAGCACACCACCTTACGCACACCCACGCACCCTTAAGAAGGCGAAAGTGCACCAAAACTGCAGGTGTGCTAGGCTGTACTATATATATAATATATAATTTACATATTACGTAATATGTCTGTGTGTGTGCGGGTGGGGGCATGGTAGGTAGAAGTTTCATGGGGCGCGGAATGGCTCAAGAAGCCGAGTGGCAGCTCAGCGCGGGTGCCGAAGTAGTTGCATCCGATCAGCAGCGCTTTCTTGCGGCCTGACTTCTGGCTTCCGGGCTGTTGGGGATACTTTTTGGGTTTCACCGAGTTGATAACCTCGGTGTAACGAGGGGTTAATGAGTCTGCTGTACATCAGCATGTTCATGAATTCACACCAACCATGGCAACGCTCGGGATAAACTGAAGGCCATGTCAAAACGAAGGCTGAAGGAAATCAGCTTCCGGCCAAAACTAGAACTCAAAAACAGGGATGGTGGTTTGCTTCAAAAGGGAAGCCCCGGGTTTGAGCAAGGGGATGGCGACAGGTCAACAGTTGCGGATCTTTAAGAATGCTTCTTCATGGCTCGGGTTGCCTCCCAGCCTGGCAAACACTAGTCAGGCTGTCTGAATTCTGAATTCAGTGTGTTTGGTAAAAGCCTCAGAGAACGAATCTTAAGGACCCAGCCCAAGCCCGCTTCCCCAGCCCCTCACAGTCGCCATGAAGACCTTGCTTTGAGAAGCACAAATGCTTGCCGGTCCGCTTGCGACTTCGAAGACTGGCCCGGGACAAGCGGAGCCAATGCAAACGTGAGGAAGTTTTGTTTCGACTGTTTGTGTGTTGGGCAAAGTCCAAAGAAAATCCCAGTTGCAAAGTGGCCTCGTCATTTGACCAAAAGTTAGCCTCATGACCCTGTGCCTTTAATAACGAAGCATGTCAAACAAACAACACGTGGGTGTGTGTCGAAGTAGGGGCGCCCTGAAAATAGTTTTGTTTTTTAGCTTCCCTTTAAACCAACCGTTCAACCTGAAAAGGGCACTTTTCGCCTCAAACACACACACACACATCCACATACAGTTCCAGAGCACCTTGAAAATGGCTCCGGGTGCCTGGGTTTCCAGTGACAAGAGCTGACGAGGTGCCATCGGCAAACCGCATCCATCTTGTTTGCTATGCACCCGCAGGGATCGGGCAAATCGACTCCGTGGATGCTCTGTTACCAAGACCCCAAGAAGCATCACCATCCAACCAGTTGGAAGGCCCCCGTGAAGTTCTGGCCAGTTTCCCAAATTTTCGAGCCCCCAGGTCTTTTGTTGCCGCCAACACGAGAATGCCGACTGTCCAGTGCCTGTCGGCCGTGGTGCGTGTCCTGCGCGCGCGACGCTCGAGCGGCGCTCACTGCCAGGTGCGGACTTCCATGGAATTCACACATGGCGCCCAACAGTAAGGGACCAAAGGGCGTGCATTTAACTATGGAACCCTTAGTGGGCATCAACCACTTTGGAGGGGGGGTCCCAAAAGCCATGCCCATATATGAACATGTATGCCTTTATATCCACGTTCCTAGAATCTTAGAACCAAAGCCAAAAGTAAATGGGCTGGACTGGGCGAGGTTCGCTTTGTGGAAGTGCTTGCCCCAATCCTTCGTCTTTGAATGCTCGAGAACGATCCCTAGCTTTGACCCATCCTCGTACATCCCATCCCATCCCAGCCCGTCCCTTCATTCCTTCACGACTCCACCATCCCTCCCATCTATCACTCACTCCTGTCTTGGGTCTAATTCATGAGACCCATGTCTCCCATGTCTCCTCCCGTTGAAACGTGCGTGGGCGGCTTGGCCGCACCGGCAGTGAACGGCATCTGCGCCTGGCCAGGATGGGTGGCTGGTCTCTTCAGGGAAAACAACAGCCCCCAAACCTCCAGAGTGGCCATGGGGGAAAAAAAGGGCACCTCAATTAAAAAAAAAGTCGGGGGTTTTCGCCAGTTTAATTCCCCTAGAAACCTGTCAACTCTACCCTAGAACCCGGTCTAGAAATCGGTCAAGTTGCCCCAACCAAAATGCCCCTCGAACGCCCAGCTCGCCATATATCTTAGAACCAGCTCACACTCAAACAAACACAACACTTCAAGGGGAAAAACCAAAAACACAGTACCTCAACGCCAGCCAAAAGCGTGCGGGCAACGCGAAGCGTTTACAATGACCCACACACCACCGCGCGTACCCGAGGTTGCCTCATTGGTGCAGCCGCACTGCGGGCACTTCGCCTGGACCCGGGCCCCTGCTGGCGTTCCTGGCTCAAGGGGCTGGATATTCGGCAAACAGCCGGGATATGTACCCGGTCTGACAACCACCCAAATGGTCGTGGTTGCTCTTTTTGGGGGACTGTGCCCCAAACTGGATTTTGCTTTTCTGCAGTTTTCCCCTCAAAACCAACCAAAAGGCCCAATACAAGTCGAGCCACTCAAATGGAAACTCTTCAAACCCAGGGGGTGTTGGTGAACATTTGGCCTAAAATTCCTGTATATTTTTCTGGGGTGTCTCAAAATAGAGGTGTGTGCATGGTTTTAACAGGATACCAAAGTAAACCACCCCAACTTTGAGAAAGGCACATTTCCTGTAGCTGGCTTCTCTGAGCCAGCAGATTTTGACCCACTGCTTAGTTACCCCGACCGTGATTTGTGTCCCAGCCCCATCACTTGGCTGGACATTCAAGTAGCTCTGCTCTGGTTGAAAAGCCAGGGCCCCAATCCCTGTACGATCGATCACATTCCGACCTCCCACTCAACAATCGATGCGGCCTAAATGGTTGTACAAGATTGTCCTACATGACATGTGGTTTGAAGTACCGCACAAACTCATTCGACTGAACGCCCTTGTACAGGCTTCCCTATATTTCGCTTGAAACTTGAAGCATCACCTACCAATGGACCAAGGGCCTGGGAGACTCATCAAATTTGGTCAAGGTGATGTTGACAACTGAAAGGGACGAATGAGTTTGTCTTCCCTTTTGGTCTCCCTGTGAAACCAGCCCAACGATGCCCTGACCCCCCCAGAATATCGCGAGTACCCAGGCTTCAGAAGTCCTGGCGGGACCTCCACGGCGCAGATCTTGCTGCACCGGCCGCACCTGCTGTGACCCGAATGGCTTGGGGCCGTTGGGCCTGTTGCGTCGGGGTTGTTGGACTTGTGCCGTCAACTTAAGAGTCAGGAGCGAAACTAGGTCCACTGAAGCGTCAATCTCACAACTACATGGCTGCTTGAAGGGAAATCACCGGGCCTACAGGGCCCAGCCCAGCGACAAGTGAGTCTCCTTACCAGCTTGCAGAAGTGTCTGCCCTTGCATGTCTATCTTGTATATTCTGAGCAACATATCTGCTGGGTGCTGCTGTTGTTGTTGGTTAGGTGGATGTGTTCTGCTTGTCGGTGATTGAAGGTTTACCTGGTCCGCTCCCTTGTCTCTGAAGCCAAGAAAAAAATCCTTACAGAGATCAAAACCCATTTCGACATCTAGATAGAGAGGCGCGATGCGCCGTGGGGTTTCCAGGGCTGGTGGCCACCTGCCCATCGCGAGATGTTCCTACGAGGTCCTTCCTGTTTGGGCAAAAAGCCCAGGTCTTTGTTGGGTGCACATAGTGAAAATCCGATGGTGTCCAACCACTGTTGGGGGGAATTCGGCCGCTCTGAAAACAAGCCATATTCAGAGCCGGTGACTGGGCTGTTCAACATCTCCAGTCCTAGTCAGCAATCCGTGTGACTACAAGGGAAACTATTACTATTACCATCTGGCATGGTTGTTGGAGCACTGATTTTGAAGACGTCAGTCAGAAAAATCCATTCAAGCATCCCTTTTCAGGGTATCATTGTTGGGGTTGTACAGTAAAACCTTTGGGGAACGTCGTTGTCCGTTCCCCGTTCAACCCCTCCGGTGCGAGCGGCGCAGCGGCCTAATCTGTATCTGGCAGGAGGCGTCGGCGCCGCCGCCGCCGCCGCCGCCGCCGCCGGGCGCGGGAGCACCGCAGGCATCCTCGGACGTGTGCGCCCCGAGCCCTCGGACGTGTGCGCCCATGGGCCCATGGGATCTGATCAGTTCTGAAGGCCAAGGTGACATCCGCAGGTTTCCCTTGCGATCAAAGTGAAGTTATCCAGCCAGGAACCAAGGCTTCTGACCTCGATCACCCGCACTGGAACTCATGACTCAGGCAGGTTCTGGGGGCATGTGGACCGTTCTGACAGCTTGAACACACAAGACGACCCATCAGGCTGGAACAACCTTCAGCAAAAATGAAAACAAACCCTCCCGAATCGCCGAGCTTTGGAAGGAGATGCGAAGCTTTGAAGCCAGCCACCAACTTGCGATGAAACACCGCGTCAAAAGGCACTGTCCTTCGACAATCAGCCCTACCCAGCGGGAAAAAAGGATCAGCAAAGTTATGCCGACTGGATTATGGTTATCCCCAATTCCCTTTTTTGTCCAAGTCTGGGATCCAAGCATCATGTTCTAACAGAATTTGTTGGGAGTTTCCCTGAGTTCCCTTGTATTTCTCCTTACGGCCATCCTCAAAAAAGTGCCGAGTCTTCAACCCAAGCGAAGAATTAATTTGGGCACCCACGCGCACTGCCGGGCGGAGGGCTTGTTGCGCAAGGTGCACTTTGGACCTCGGAGGCATCGGTTGGGGTTACCTGCCGGTGGGAAGGGCATTTGTCGAATTTGCGGTCCGATTTGAAGTAAGTGGGTAAGTGGGTAAGTGGGTAAGTGGGCATGTGGGCATCCATTTCCTGCTAGTTTCGTTTCTTCCCTGCCATCTGCACTGTTGAGTAGTATTTTTATTCCATCGTAGTCTTAAAAGGACTACCCTGTCTAAGGTCTGGATAACAACTAAACAACTCATGTACCATGCTGTTTCCTTTCGAAGAGATAAACTCAGCAAAATGGGCTATTCGCACCCAAATTGATTAATCATGAAATCGGATAATCAGTTTGCAAGCATTGCTCGTTGCAGGGGGGGGGGGTGTAACCGCACTTATCCACTTAACATCAGAGTTTCCGGGCTCTTGACATTGGTGCATTTCAACTCCTAATCCGCAATTTACAGGTCGGTGGGACCCCATCACTAGTGGTCAGAGATGTCAGAGCATCCGAGGAGGCACAGCCCCGGCTTCAGCTGTTCTGCCCGAAGACGAGGCAGGCCAACATCCTTTATTGCTCCCAAATTAATTTCTCTCCGGATCGACGTGGAACCTGAAAAGCACCCATTTCTACAGGAATCTCCGGGAGTTTTCAGCGGACCGAGTCAGGAAATCAGCGTCAACGCAGAAATGATTGCGCCCAGGTTTTGGATGGTCCCCATGGATAGCAAGTGTGTTTGCCTTACACTCCCATTAGCTTGGATATTGACACCTTAAACATGCAAAGTCTTCTGTGCATATTCCCTGTCCCTGGAACAAACGCAAGTGCCACCGTTGCTTCCCAGTCAGCAACGGTCTTAGTTGCGAGTGCTGCCAGGGGAGAAAACCAGAAGCCGGGAGGAGCAAAAGCAACTGCCTCAACCGGAGGAACAAAACAGAATGGGAAAGCAACAACAAAAACACACAGAGCACATACACAAAGTACCCAAATCGGCCAACCACATCTTGACACCCAAAAAGAAAGTGATTCTCAGCCTCCCGCACGCCCATCCGCTCGACTCCTTTCGCTATTTGCTGGCATAAAATTTCATTTGACCTAGCCGCATGTCAGTAGGGATGCGTCCAGTGGCGGTAACCATTTGTTTGCTCCCTTGGGAACACCGTGCTCAAAAGATGTCCTGAACTTGATCCAGTCCCCAACAAGGCATACAATGTGTGAAGGACATCCACCTGAATCACATGCAAACACGAAAACGGAAGCATTGTTTGGATTGCAAACAGCCAGTCAAACATGATGACACACGCACACAAATGACAAAAGAACGCCAGAAGGAGGGACTTACTTTGGCACGATCTGCGAATGATGCAGGGGGCACAACAAGCTAAGGGGCGGCGCACGCAAAGGTTGCATTGCAACAAGACCGTCAAAAAGGGCGATTTCATGACGAATCGCCCTGAAATTGAACCGACGTGGTTCCGCAGAAACAGCATTGCAATCAGACACATGCCCACCCACACACACACACACACCCACGCACGCACGCACGCACGCATACAAACACGCACACGCATACGCACACCAGCGCAAACACACACACACACACATGCAAAACGAATATATAACATACACGCAAAAACACAGTAGGAACACAAACAACACCAAACACACACACACAACTGGAACAACAGGATGATCACAGAAGAAACAAACACACACACACACCATAACAAATCAACACACACACACACACACACACACACACGCACGCGCAAACCAAACACAAACAACGCAATAAACAAACAATCAAACCAAGAAACAACAAACCAACACACCACCAACAAGTATTTCACAAGCAAGCAAGCAAGCAAGCAAACCAAGCAAGCAAGCAAATTCACACAGAAACCAACATACACACAAACCAGCTCGCACGCAGTGACAGATACACACTCAAACCACACAGGATACATTCACATTTACAGGGCGCACCCACAGGGCACACGCACACACGAGAGCCGCGCACGCGCACATGCGCGAACGCACGCACTGACGAACACATCAACCCACCAACACACCCACCCACGCACCCTCGCACGCGTGCGCGCACACACAAACACAAACACACACACACACAAACAAACAAACAAACAAACAAACAAGCAAGCAAACAAACAAACAAACAAGCAAACAAACAAACAAGCAAGCAAGCAAGCAAGCGAGCAAACAAACAAACAACAAACAAACAAACAAACAAGCAAGCAAGCAAGCGAGCAAACAAACAAACAAACAACAAACAAACAAACAAACAAACACACCTTCAAACTAATCCAAACAAACAAAACAAAACACAATAAAACCAAACCAAAGAAACAAACAACCAAATACAACCAGTTCAACAAACAAACAAACCCGTGGGCGCGCAGACAGGCAGGCGCGCACACACACACACACACGCACACACTCGCACGCACACAAATAAACGGGCACACGCGAGCACGCACACACACACACACAGACACACACACACACACACACACACACACACACTGACACGCCCCTACACAGCCATACGCGCGGACACACGTGCAAGTGCACTTGCGCTCACGCGAACACGGGCGCATGCGCAGTCACACATTGCTGTCAAAGGTGTGGATTCACCACTTGGTAAACATCGCTGTAAAGGTGGCACTGAACATCAAACAGAAACACACAGCCTGAAAAAGGTCTAATTTACAACAACATGGTCCGGAGTCCATGCCGGGGGCCTTCGTGAGGTTCCTTTCACATAGTGCTGCTCTGGGACGCTATGAACACTAGGAACGCATGGCGCTGGAAAGAATGCATCTAACGCTCTTCTCCAAGCAAGCTAGGCGCATATGGATCTGAACCACAATAACGTTCCGGCCCTGGAAGTTGTTGGTGGGGTTACGCTTCGGGGTCTGATTCGGGGAGTGCTTCGGGGGCATGATTCGAGGAATGATTCGCAAGAAGAAACCAGACCCGTGTTGGTCCTTGCCCGCGTCTGGCTTTGCAGCAATGATTCTGTCACACGCGGCAAGGAAAGCGAAAGGTTTGGACTGATTCGGGGTATGATTCGGGTGGTGGCAGACTCAGGTGAATATAGAGTAGTAGTAGCAGCAGTGGTAGTGGTATCAGGTAGTAGGTAGGTAGTAGGTAGTAGGTGGTAGGTGGTAGGTAGTAGGTAGTAGGCAGTAGGCAGTAGGCAGTGGGTAGTAGTAGTAGCAGCAGTAGCAGTAGCAGAAGCAGCAGCAGCAGCAGCAGTACTAGTGGTGGTGGTAGTAGTAGTAGTCGTAGTAGTAGTTGTAGTAGTAGTCGTAGTAGTCTAGTAGTGGTAGTAATAGTAGGAGGAGGAGTAGTAGTAGTAGTAGCAGCAGCAGCAGCAGGAGTAGTAGTAGTAGTAGCAGTAGCAGTAGCAGTAGCAGTAGCAGTAGTAGTAGCAGTAGTAGTAGTAGTAGTAGTAGTAGTAGTAGTAGTGAGTTGGAGTTTTCACTGGGGTATGATTTGAGGTATGATTCGGGGCTTGTCGGGGTATGATTCGCAGGGGTCAAACTTCCACCCTTTCAAATCGTGTACACTGATAAAAACAAAAAAGAAAAGACGCACCCATGTGTATATATATATAACAAGATGGTTCAAACTTTTCGCGGGAATCCCGCGATTCTACAATTCCGCATTTTGCTTATGGGAAGCCCTTTGATGGCTGTTGGCCCCCTGCTGCATAGTGGCCAAAGCGAACCAAGCGAGTCAGCTGCTGATGCTGCTGACACCAGCGACTTTACCCTCACTCCCACTAACTTTCACAGAACCTCACAAACGGAACATGGCCTTCCGCAGAATCTCCCTCAGATTCAACTTGATCAAACGAACATTTCGGCCACTGTGCACCAAACTTGCAGCTTGCGGCCCCGTAAGCATATCTTGCACACTTGTCAGCCCAGCTGCGACCCAGCAATAGAGACATTCCGCTACTTAGTGGAAATGCAGTCCGTGACCCAGCTCGACAGAATGGTGGCATTGACGAACTGATGTGACAAATATGAGCGAACAAACGACAATTCAGAAGTCCCTTTGGACGGAAGGATGAAAGGGTTGGGAAAAGCCGGCAGTAGTACTTGTTCAACGCTATAACTTATACCGTCTCCCAATTTCGGTCCTCGTCTTTCCAAGGATGTGAATACTCCTCACGGTGCAACATCTCACGCCACTCAAGGGTATCAAGGCGGAGTGTCATCTACAGACCATCTTAAAGCAGGTATCAGGATTTTCCTCCCATTCAAAAAGCTTCACACCTGCAAATACATCACATCTCCGCCACTCTGAAAAGAATCCGATCATGTTCTCATTATTTTGCAAGCGTCAATATGTTGCTCCAAACCTCCAGTAACGCGAAACAAGGGCACTTCTTTGGTAATGCCGTCAAAAACAGGGGCCTGCTCAAAAGGCGCCAGCACAGCTCGGGCCAATCTTCTCATTCCACTTGACAGCCCCAAACCACTATTGGCACTACAGAAAGTATATAACATCATGTTTAAGGCATTGGTGGTTTGGGGTTCAAATCCTGCATGAGCAACAATTGCTTGCAATCCTGATTCTGAACCCCACACAGAATGCTGTTTCTGCTTGCCAGCAACACCATGCCCACGGAAATGGTCGGTCCAGCACGGGTGTCGTTTTGTGGCTCAGAAGTTGGTTGTCCCCGAGATCTTCATGTTCTAACCGCCGATACAATCTTGTCCTGCGATCACATTACTTCCTCAAGGCACTGGAGACTTGGGGGTTCGGCCGCCGGGCCTTTTGTGAAAATTCAGGCGGTGGACACATGTTCCACTTGTCTTATGGTTCTTTTTTCGTGAAAGGCAGCCTCATAGGGAACCCTTATCGGCTTTTGAACTGAGTGCGACGAACCGTGCTTGCGCGCGGAATAGAGCTTTAATTAACAAGGTTTCAGCGTACGTGGAATCCTGAATTAAGTGAACATAGAGAACTTATGAGAGAAGTAGATCTGGTAAATGTGTCCGGAACGGTGAATACTGAAGGTTAGAACTGATGAGCAACTGCACGGTCAATACCGGAATTGATACAAATAAACAATGGATCAATAACTAGTTCAGACTCTTTGAAGCACCACTCAGGTGCTACTGAGGCCTTATTCGCAAAACGGTGCCTCCTTTTTTTGCCGCATAAGGGTTAGTGCCAAAATGGGAGGATTGCCCAGTTCCACTGGGAAGCTCCCCTCAGCAGCTGATGGGAGTAGGATTGATGCCACTCCCACAGCGAGGGAGAAATCCTCCCACCTCACCGGATGCCCTCCCGGCATCATGGGTGAGGAAGGAAAGTAGCGAAGATCAGTGTGATCAATTCGCTCTCGACTGAGGGGAAGACCCGGTTCTCAGTCGGGAATTGCGGGTCCGGATGAGTGAGCTCATCCGCCCACGTGTTGAAGTCGCGTTTCACATGCGACGGCCCCAACATGACCTGCTGGTCATGCAGCGTGAGCACAATTTCCATGAGGATGGCCGCATTGGGCATCCTACGAGTGGAATCGTTAAGAAGGGAGAAAACATTTCCCTGGTTATCACTAGCCACCAGGATCCTAGTGTGAGAAGCCGAGCCGGCTGCACAAAGCAGAACGGCCCTCACCAAAAGGAGGAGGCCGAAGAGCTCCAAGGCCGCTATCGCCCGCTGCGGGTCCCCAGTAGTGAAGGCCCACGGCTCGCCCTCCGGTGTGATTCTGTGCTGGAACCACTTAACACGGGACTTGTCGGGGTTGGGCACGTCCGAGCACCAACCACCCACCCATGCATGGTCCGCCTGTCTGCCAGCTCCCGCATCAGATGCCCCCGTCCATGGGAGTGTGGGAGCAAATGGGGATGCCAGTGGGAACCTCTGGTTGAAGAGTCTCCCCAAAAGTATGGCCAGAGCACGAACCAGCTTCGGTGGCCTGCCCGAAGTGGTGCAGGCCTTCTTCCAGCTCCAAAAAGGCTGGAGGAAAGGTTTCGTCAATGGGCACGCCGAAGTAGCCCATTGAATACGGCCTAGGGCTTGTTCCACCTCCTTGCTGGTGAAGATGTCCCCCTGGGCCAGCCGTTTAAGAGTGGCCAGGATTATGACGTGTTTGACTGGAGCCAGCAGTACACAGGGCGTGATTGGGTCCACCACAAAACCCAACCAGGTATTGATCGGGGAGAGCGCCGTCTTCTTCCAGGAAAGCGGGACTCCCAGCGCCAGCAGTGTAGCCAAGATGGCTGTGGCGTCCCAGTCCGCCCGGCTGCATCTGAGGACCCAGCAGTAGTCGTCCACAAAGACTAAGTGCCAGTCCACATGGGGGAAGATGTAGTACAAGAGCCTGAGCACCAGGGATGCCTTTCTTCCCCAGTACAGCTGTGCCGAGGCCATGCCGTACGTGCCCACTCTGTTGACCCACCACCGGTTTTGGATGCAGGCCACCTGGTATTTCCAGTCTTTAGGGAGCACTTTAATACGCCTGTGGGCCTTGGTGACATCTGCCTTGAGGATGATGAAGGTTTCCCCCTGTGTCGGCAGCTGCCATCTCAGGGGTTCCCCCCCGCTCCCCCCAGGGCATTCCGTGCCCGGGGGGGTTGGGGGGAAGGGGGCCCTCCTATCAGGGCCCTCGGCACCTGGGAGTGGTCCCTTTCCTGAGGGTGTCGATCCCAGAGAGACGTCCATGCCGCCGGAGGTATCCATAATCCCCCTGCCCCGATCAGGCCCCTCGGCCCTGGGGGGCAGGCTGGTGCTGCGGGGGTCCCTCTCAGGGCCCTCGGCACTGCCCCTGCACCGGCTGGTGAACATCCCGAGGTCTCTCCTCAGTGTTCGGGAGCGTGGCCCAAAGTAGATGGGGATGGTCCGTCGCTGTCCTGAGCCAGTGGATGGCGTGGAGGCAGTCTCCGACCATCGGTGCAGTGGTCTTCTCCCCTGTGTGAGCCTGGATGTGTGCGTTTGCTCCCCCTTTGGAGCCATCGTAAATCGTCCTGATCTTGTCCGACTCATCAATCCCTGCAAGGGGGCCCGGGCAAAGTTCCTCCGGTTTGCAGCGGCACCTCTCCGCGCGGGGGGGGGTCTTCCCCCAGCCAGGCTTCTCCCTTAAGCTCCTCCTTAGTGGGCCAAACTCCCGGGGAGGTCAAGGTAGGGTCCGAGACTCCCAAGGGGACCCCCTCTTTCAGTGTCAGGGGGAACTCCCAATCAGGGTCACCTGAAAGGGATGCCAAGTGCGACACTAAGTCCAGGAGGAAGGGTTGTCCTGGGCATCGTTCATGGAGGTGCCTCGGTCCTAGGATAGCCCGCAGCTCCTCGAGGTCGGCTTCCTGGAAGGGGTGTGTGGTGGCACCTGATGCCAGGGACATCCGGACCTTATCAATCCAGGGCCTGGTAAGGGTCATGATCAGGGCGCCCAAAGTAGCCAAAGGGGAAATTCTCCGAAAGGGGGGGTTGAGCCTCCCCGGGGAAGGTTTCCCCCCCCCATCTCTCAGGGGGCGTGAACGGAAACCCAATTGGACAATCGCAACTCGGTCAGTGAGGCGTGGGACCCGGAAAGCGGGCAGACATTCGGGGCGGTCCAGGACCTGGTCCCCATGTTCTTCCTTTTCCAGTTGTTCCGCATCTCCGGCCATCGGGGGCATGGGAGATGGGAAGTCTGGGTTCATAGTTCCACGAGGGCTTACGGTGTCAGCCTCATGGTGGATGTGCCCGTGCTGGCGGGGCTTCGGGGCATTCTTGCCTCCGGGCTCTGGGCCCTGGTGTGACGAGGAGGGACCGCCTCCCTGATTGGGTCCCCGTTTTCCCCGGGGAGAAGGGCCCCCAGGGGGGTCCGACCCCCTTCCCTTAGGTGGTTCCTTAGGGTTTCCCGGGAATTGTGAGGGGATCCGGATGTGCCCCGGCGCTGCGAGTGACACAGCGATGGCTTTGGCCAGGCCTGCCATCATATCCCAGGGGTATCTGCTGAGAGTCGAGGACTCGCTGGTGCCCACATGTGACTGATGTGTGCACCGCATTTGATCCCAGTCCTGGATTGGGAGATCCGTGGCAAGTGTGGTGGCCTTCTTGACCAGCTGGCCCAGGCGGCACTGGTCGAAGGAGATTGCTGTCAGGGAGTTTTCCTCCATCCAAAGCTGCCCCTCCTCCGTGATCCAGAAGGATGAGCATTCCTTGGCTTTGGGCAGCGAGCTGCTCACCACTGGGTCCTCCGGGTGCTCCAAGAAGGATTTTGGCCCTGGCAGCGAGACCGCCGATCTTGAGGCCCTTGCCAGGCTGGTGATGTACATCTGCCTCAAAATGAGGGTACTGTCCTCATCAAGCTGAGTCTGGGCGGCCTGGTCCAGGTGTGGGAGGCCCCAAAGTGTCTCTCGAGTGCGTCCTCGCACCGGGGTGGGGGCCCCCGGTTTTGGTATGTGGCGCAGGATGGACCATGTCCTGCAGTTGGGTCCTCCCCCAATGAAGACCACTCGGCCCTGCTTTGCTGCCGTGCAGAGCGCTCCATACAGCTCGGGTTGGAGCATGTCGTGGTTCCCTTTTGGTCCGGATCGTAGGATGTCTACTGCCACCACCATGCTGGAGAGGTGCGGGTAGTTGGCATGAAGACAGCTGTCTAAGGAAGTTGGGTCTTCCTTGCCTGCATAGAGCAGGACAATGATGGGCCCACTGGATGGAACTTTGGGCGATGTGCCCTGTGTCCATCTCAGCCGCTGTGCCAGGCGCTCCGGGATGTTCTCCATCCACGGGAAGGTGTCCCCTCCCGGTGACAGCTCCGTGGGACTTGTCAGGGGGGTAGCTGAAAGGCGTTGGCCCCCTTCATTCAGCCCAACAGAACTCTTATGAAAAACCACCGGGTCCTGCTTGATGATGTTGGGCGCCGGAAGTGGGATCGGCTGCCTCCTGGGCGTGTTCCTCGGCGTTGCGGTGTGCTGCCAGTTGTCCGGCACTCGGGCCTGCTGGGCGCGGCCCCCCGTGTCAGGGCCCTTGGCACCTGCGGGGAACCGTCCCGCCCCTGCCATCTCAGGGCCCTCGGCACCTGTGGCACGGGGCTGCGGCGTTGCCGTTGTGTCAGCTGTGTGGTTGTTCTGACCCCAGCTGGGGTGTTGTGCACGCTGGTTCTGTCGTCCCCATCCTTGTTCCGCCGAGGAGGGCCGCCACCTGGCCTGTCCCCCCCCTGTGTCAGGGCCCTCG